GCCTCTGGTGAAGGAAGTGCTTGCTGCAGGTAGGCGATGACTGAGATATAGGGGTCAGAGGGGGAGAATCACAGAAAAATGTGGTTGGTGGTCTGGGTTTTCTATCCTGAAGAATTATGTGATAAAGGGAAAATTCTGCAAAGGAACTGCTGGGGGTCCCATCCTCTCAGACATAAATTACGTTGCATGGCATGGCGGAGGATGTGCCCACAGAAACGAGCCTTCGGAAAAGGAGGCTTTGTGTTGTTTTTTTTAGGGTTGTGCTTGTTTACCCAATAGCATTATTGCGTAATCTGCCTGGTCCATGAGGTTCCGTTAAGGTGGTTAGGGTCAAAAGGCATTAAGAACTTAGATTTTTATTTTTTTTAATCTGTCTGTGAAAAGCAGTGATTTTGAGTAAAAAAATGATTGGGGTCAAATTCTGGCTCTGCAGTGGAAACTTGGGCAAGTTAAATAACCTCCTGCACGTCAGTTTCCTTATCCGTGAAGTGAGAACAATATATCTAATCAACATAATCTTAACAATAGAACACTGTTATGAGCTCAGACACAGGAAGCTATTGGCACAGCCTGGCATACAGTAAGTACTCAGCGAATCCTGGCTCTGTTGTCACAATTTTTCTTTTACTTGTAATTTACAGTGTAAATAACTCTGAAGTAGATATCCATATGCATAGTTCTTTGACCGTAATTATGATTGTTTCTCTATGATAGGTTCCTAGGAGGATAATGACTTGGGTACAAGTATAGGATCATATTGAATAATCCTGTTTTTAAAGTTACCCAGAAGAGGCAATTCAACGGCTTGCTTCATTTGACTACCAGGGAATGCTTGGGCTCTGGAAATTCAATTCCTAGTGTATATGTTATTTGGCAGATTCCAAACCTAACTAAGGTGTGTGTAAAAGTCTAGTGTTCATTGAAATCGCTTTGTGATAAATCCTTCGCAGTAAAGAGAAAATAAAGTGGAAACAGTCCCTGTTTATAGCAAACTCCCAAGAGTCACAGAAATGCTTGTTCAGTTTAGGAGACCTTGGCCCTGGCTTCCCGTAATCCTTCCCCTGCATTCACTCCTTGGCATTTTGTAGCACCTGCCCCTTTAAATCCCTCACTTTGCACTGCCATTGAGAGTTTAGATTTCCTCCTTATCTTTGACCTTTTCCTTTAAGGATGTGGCTTTTAACTAACCTTTGGCCTGTGGGTCAGCAGTTAAGCTGTCCATTCTCCCAGACCCCTGAAAAGATGAAAGACCCTTTGCCTTTTTAAGGACAAAGCCTGTTGTGCATAACTCGCACATAGTTTGGTCATCTCAAGCCATGCTTGGGTGACGAAACCTCATGAGGCAGGTGCTGCAAGGGCCACGCTGAGTGGATATGATGGGAAACAAACCTTGAAGAAGAGCTTTAAGACTTTGGATTTCTCAGTAACATTCGGCCTGTCCACATTTCATGTCATCTTTTAAGGGAAGCTAGAGGAAGATACTTAACAGAGCTGGTCCTGACATACAATAGCTTCCTCACTCTGAAAGCAAGGCCACCTACAGGGCTGTCTTAGGGGTTAGGTGTTAGATAGACGCTGTCACTGTGTGAAGGAGACCTTACCTGGGGGCAGGGGGACAGACGATGCACAGGTACCTGAAAGACAAGGTAGAGGAAATAAGGGCCGTGAAGCACATAAGGGGATGCTAAAAAAGGAGAGATTGGACGGAGCGGTGGAAATCTAGGAGGACTTTGTGTAAGAGATGATGTTTAAGATGAGTGAAGCTTCCTGAAGGAGTGTTATTTCAGGTTAGCCATAAAAGATTTTAGCAAGTGGAATTTGGTGCAGATGGAGGGGTGAGTAAAACAACTGAGAATGGAACATTCATGCAAGCAGATGGAGTCACAAGAGGGAAATCAGAGATATTTGGGGGGGGGGGGATTGTTTGGGGACAATCAAGTGAAATGGTTTCATTTGCATGTACATTTCGGGGACTGTAAAAGGTAGAGAGAAGGGTACAGTGGGGTCAGGCTGCAGAGGTCCTTGTTTGCTGGGGAGCAGCATTTTTTTCTTGACTAAAGACAGTGAGGGGGAGGGGGGTTCAAAGCCAGAAGATTGACTGTGAGGATGGAGTGAATAGGCGGGTGAGCTTAGTTAATTATAAAATTCTTTTTAAAAAGAAAAAAAGAAAGAACACTTTCTTTTCTTAATTTATTTTCAATAAATTAATAGTTAAATAGTAAATTAGAATCAATGGTAAAAATATCACAAAACAACAGATAACATCTTTGGCTGATACTTCTAATCACTATAAAGCACAGAAATTCCATTTCAATAAAAAGGCGTAGAAGGAGATTACAGAGCACTATTAAGAGGAGAGGAGCCTGATCATAAGGTGCTGGTCCGTTTTCAATCCTAAAATACTTAGTGACTAAACAAGGCTGTAGAGCGGCTGGTGCTGGATCAGGAGACTGGCACGCACTGGGTTTCCATTAACTGTCCATGTGACCTTTTCGAAGTCACTTTGTAATGCTCTGGACCTGTTTTCTCCTCTCTCACATGAGCAGTAATATTAGCCAACTTAGTGACCTCTATAAAGAGATGGACTTGTTTATACCTAGTATCCAGAGTTTCCAGTGGCGTCTGGAGCAGCCCAAAACACTTGTGTTCAAGTAACAGAGTAGCATCGATGAGATAATCTGTCTAAACTCTTCTGTTGGGTTCCAATGGTCCCTAAGAAGATGTACCACCAGTGAACTACAGTACATTCCAGCCGTAAATTCTTACTATCGCGATTGCCAAGCCCTGAGTACTGGACAACAACGAAGACTATAGCGTGATTTTCGAATTCGCCTCCAGTCTTACAGCTACCTTGCCAAGGTTTAGGTCTGACAGTCATGTTAATGTAACACAACTTGATATACCAAAATCCAAGCATGCAAAAGAAATAACCTAAGAGGTGAATTACATAAAGTCATGTTTTAAATTCTATCAAGGGGCTTTCCTGCAGCGTTTCATTAAACAGTGATGCCCCTCAAATAGTTTAATGATCATTCAATCTCCCTAGGGCTTTGTAGGAGCAAAGACCCTCTGCACCCACAGACGTGGCCCCACCAGCAAAAAGGTGCTCTCACTCTGAAAAGAGCATTGAACCCTGTAGTCAGGCCTCCGTGCAGCCCTCAGCAACATGGTAAAATGAAACTGATATCAAAATATTGTCAAAAGTGTGATTTTGATTGAATGCCAGATGGGAATAAGTAGTGTTGCTCAATTGACAACTATCAGCAAAGTATTGGTAATCTGGGGGCACATTTAAGTCCCCGCATGCTTGTGAGAAATGCCCATTTGTTTCTCCGACTATTCTGGGTCCATGGGGAAGTGTGCTGAGTGCAGGCAGTTTAAAGAAAGGACTCAGAAGGAAATGCATTGCTTCACAAACACAGTGTGCTACAAGTGTGAATGCTGCATTGAGTTTATTGACATAACGGCCTTGCTAATTTGGGGAATGAGATTTTGAGGGGGCCTCAGCCAATTTTCTCCTGATTACCAAACCAAAGGGGCTCATTTCAGCCTTTCATAAATCACATATCTTCTTTCCAGAGTGGCAGGAAATGCTAACTCCTCTGTTGTGTATACACTGGAAATCCATAACCGCAAATCCATCCATTTCCTATTGGTGATTCAGAAGGTTTTAAAACCAATGTACCATCAAGAACTTTGGAGAAATAAAATGTCCCAGAGACAATCAAATGACATCATTTGTATTCTGGGCTCAGCTGTGGGATTCATCTCTGAATTCAAGCATCATCAGGGTGGCACGTGGTGGTGAGTTATGCCAAATCCACACTGTTCCTTTGGCCTGTGGGTACCACCCCTCCCAACATAGGATGGAGCTAATGCTCCATAGCAGGGAAGACAAATTCCAAATTCATTAATTCATTAGAGTCTGGTATTACAGTCCTATTGTCTGCTCTAAATCTTTTGTTTAAACTAAGCTCTCTGTTAAATGAGTCGTTAAATGATAATGTTTGGATTTTCATAATTATATTTGAATTTTACAGGTCTTAAATCAGCAGGAATGCAGACTGAATTAGAAGTATTCATACCTGACTGAAACTGAGGGGTTAGAGAACCCATTTCAACTGTTTTTCATAAGAAAACTAGGAACTCTAATTTATAAGTGATCAAGTCCTTGCCTCTCTCAGATATAACCCACCATGTGGCTTTGGAGTTAACATATATGGGAATGGCTCATGGCAGGTAACACCTCCCATTTCTATAGAGATAAAGAACACAGAGCTCTTTCATAGGTATTTGTTGTATTCCTGTAGCCTTCCCATGTCAGGAGAGCCTTTTCTCCACCGATTTTCCCACAAGCCTCCAAGAATTTTTCCTGCAAGAGTCAACCTGAAGACTTTTTTGTTCCTCCTTGATCAAACATACTACATTTTTCAAAAAAAACTTTAAAATATGTTCTGTGGGCCCTAGCTGGTTTGGCTCAGTGAATAGAGCATGGGCCTGCAGACTGAAGGGTCCCAGGTTTGATTCCGGTCAAAGGCCCATGCCTAGGTTGTAGGCTTGCTCTCCAGTAGAAGGTGAGCAGGAGGCAGCTGATCAATGGTTTTCTCTCATCATTGATGTTTCTATCTTTCTTTCCCTCTCCTTTCTCCAAAATGAATATATATATATATATATATATATATATATATATATATATATATATACATATATATATATATATATATATATATGGAGTGTTCTGAGGGAGCCCTAGCCAGCTTGGCTCAGTGGATAGAGCACCATCCTGTGGACTGAAGGGTCCCAGGTTCCATTCCGGCCAAGGGCACATGCCTGAGTTGCAGGCTCGATCCCCCACACAGCCGATCCAAGATTCTCTCTCATCATTGATGTTTCTATCTCTCTCTCCTTCTCCCTTCCTCTCTGAAATCAATAAAGAAACATATTATTTTTTTAAAAAGTTCTGAGGAAAGCAATTTTAATCATCTGAAATGTGCACTTCTACTCATCTTGCTTATAACTGAAAACATATTGAGCGATTGTTTTTTCTTCAAACAACATCTTCTGTGGATGTTGGACATATGAAATAGACAGAAACAGGCCACGTTCCAAAGCCACTCCTCATGGCCTCCGGTCGGCTCCTGGCAGCTGTCCCTGAGCCACCTCCTGTGACGCTTAAATTCCTGCCTCACAAATTCTTCACCAAGTTGGCTCTGCAAAAGGCTGTCGGTGGCCAGTGACTGCCGAACACGGGTCTCCCCGGTGATGAGAGTCCGAGCTGTCCTAAGGGACGTGGTGGCTTGGGCCGGGGGAGGGAACCTGGTAGTCACTGAGCTGAGTCCTGTCAGGCAGGTGGGGTCCCGGGGGGAAGAGTCCCAGAAGGTTTCCTGGGGCTGCCGCTCCCGTGTGCTGCAGGCTCTGCTCCCCCAAGACCTTGACCAAGAAGTTGATGTACCTCATCGCCAGGCGCAGCGTTTCGTTCTTGCTCAGCTTCTTGTCTGGGGGGTGAGTGGGGATGAGCTTCCTCAGCCTGGCGAAGGCGCTGTTCACATTCTGCTGCCTCCACCGCTCCCTGGTGTTCGTGAAGATCTTCCCCGTCATGTCTGAGCTCCTGGCCAGGGAAAGAGAAAGGGCCCTGAGGGCCAACACCTTGTAAGAGGCCTGTTGGGTAGCACGTGTCCTGCCAAAAAAACCTTGAGGTGTTTGATCTTCTTGACCCAGATTTTAGGAAATTCATTTCCTCATTTTCAGGGTGTTTTTTTTTTTTTTTTTTTTTTTTTTTTTTGTTGTGTGTGTGTGTGTGTGTGTGTGTGTGTGTTTAATTCTCCTTTTGAGAAGGGAAAAAAAATGTGGCAGAAGCGAGGGCAGGCAGAATAAGAACAACACCCTTTGGCCTTTTTCCCCCTCGCTGTTTTAAAGGTTATTTTATCCCAATACCCCCATCCAGTGACAGGGTTATTTTTATCCTAATACCCCCATTGCTTCTTTTATAATGAACTCTTCCTAACTTTTTGGAGTCAGGCACAACATAGAACTGAGTAGTACATGCGTAGGATTGAATAATAAAATATATATGTAGTCAGTAGGGAGTTAACTATGGATTCTTTTTTTAAAAAGCTGTGATCCTAGGTTTCATGAATAATACAATATTTGGAGTGATGAAAATAGAATGCCTCTCTGCTCTTAGCTGGCAGACCTCCCTGGAGGATTGGACCCCATAGCATAAGAACTAAAATATCCAGAGTGGACCATGTTTAGAGGAGGGTGAACAGGGTGCTGAAGAGTCTTGAAAGCCTGTTGTGTGAAGAACAGAAGTGGGGTACTTCGGGTGACAGAGAAGAAAGGCCAGGAGCATATGGGGGTGATGATTTGGCACGGATGCTGTAGAAGGCTCCATTTCTGTGACCTCTCCAACCCAGGGGGAGTAATTATCCTCATATATGGCCAAAAACGACTGTGCCATTTTTAACTCTGAGAAACATGACCCCCCTTGTCACATGGTTTGGACTGACATGCATCAGTGGGAACATTTTGATGCGTCAGCAAACCAGCCAAAGCCCAGACCGCAACAGTTGGGTGCTCTTGGCTCACTGCCATCAGCTGGCCATTCCTGTTCCCACAGAGAGTCACAGATATTCCAACTCCACTCCTCTACACCTGCCTTGCTCTGTGCCTTGAATTCCCTCCTCACTCTCTTGCCTACTTCTACACATTCTTTAAAGAGCAGCTCAAGTCCTCCCTTTCTACAATATGAAACCGCCCACTCCATCCCAGAGCCCCCACGCCCTCTCTTCACTGAAGGCCTTCAGCCCTTGGTGGTAAACAAAGGCTCTTAAGAGAATGAAATATTTGTCAATCACTTATAGCAATGCCTGACACACAGTGATTGCTATAAAAGTGATTGACAAAAGTGATTGCTACATACCACAAAATAATAAATATATTTATCAGAAAAATGACTTGTGGGTACTGAATGATTCTTGGGGGTGATATCTTGTTCTTCCATAACCAAGCCTGCTGTAATCTCTTTGTCCTTTTATTTTAATCCTTAACCAGTTGTACGCTATAAGCATCTATAGATCAAGTGGTGAACCTTTTTTAATTAAATTCAAAATATAGAATGAGCCAAAGCCAGTTTGACTCAGTGGATAGAGCATTGGCCTGCGGACTGAAGGGTCCCAGGTTCGATTCCGGTCAAGGGCATGTACCTTGGTTGCGGGCACATCCCCAGTTGGGGGTGTGCAGGAGGCAGCTGATTGATGTTTCAGACTCTCTATCCTTCTTCCTTCCTCTCTGTAAAAAATCAACAAAAAATATTAAAATATATATATATATGAGGACCTGCAGCTGAAGGCTGTGGGCTAACTGCAGTCAATGCAAATGCACCACAAGGTCTTCCTCAATGTGAGGTCCAAGGTCCAAGCCACATACTTCCATGTGAACTCAGTGTGTGGCCAACGTTGAGAGCCAATGCTCTACTCTCCAAATCGGAACACTGATGCCTCACAACACCACGCTTAGTAAGGAAGCAGTGTATTCACATATCAGGTACCTGCCATCGTAGAGGAAAGCACAGCAGGACAAAACAGAAGAGAAATGCCACCCTCTCCCTCACAGGTGGTATTCTAGTCACAGCACCAAACACTAAGCAGTCCTGGTCCGCCCCCTGTCAGTTCATGGGCCTCAGTTCCTCCCCTGTCAGATAGGTTAACGGTACCATTCTCTCCCTGTGTGGAGAATACATGAAATACCGCATATGAAGGCATCCTGTGAACTACACAGTGAGGGAAAATAAGAGCAAGCAGAGCACTTGCCTTGTGGCAGGCACTGTTTCTGTGTTTTAACTCATGCTACAGCAGCACTGGTTGTGGCAAGCGTGTTGTAGACATTGCTGGTTGGCCTAGTGACGGAGACACGTTCCAGAAGTTATCCAACTACTCAGTATGCTTCCATAGGAACCAAATGAGGATGATCCCAGTTCATTGGGATAAGCACTCAGATATCACCAAGCCCTGACTCTGTAGGAGTCAGATAGCGGTGGAGGCATCCAAGCGATGGTTAAAAGTGTAGGCTCCAGACCCTGGTTTGGCTACTGCCTCTACGCCTCCTAGCTGTGTGACCCTGAGCAATCTCTTGGGGTTCACATGCCTCAGAAGTGAAGGACAACTGTGAGGCCACATAGAATGATACCTTAGTGCACTGTCTGGCACATAGTAAGTGCTCAATAAAGGATAAATGATCACACTGATCCCTACCAATAAAACAGAGAAAAGAAAATGTTCATTGTAATTTATTTTTTCCTAATGAAGAAGCTACCATAGCTTTATTTATGTATTTGTTCATTTCACTCTATAGGAGTGTATGGTTGTATGTGCACATGTGTGAATGTATGAGTGTGTGTGTGTATGTAGATACAGAGCCAAACACCTGGAAGGATTCAGGCCAAAACATCAACAGGGCTTCCCTCAGGGGAAGGAGAGTGGGTTGGGGGGGAGATAGAAAAAGAAGACTTGTGGGTTTTATTCTGTATACTTTGGTATTATTTTACATTTTTATAATAAAATATTCATATATTACTTGCCTCACAATAAAAAAGAAACTAAGAAAGTTTATAGGTTTTAATGTAGAAAGACCTGGCTTTGAATCCCAGCTCTCAATTTCCTAGGCTCCCAATTCCCTAGTGATGCCATTCTGAGAAAATGCGTTAACTTCTTTAAGCCTCAGCTTTCTTTTCTAGAAAACGGGAATAAAGCCATGCTCAGTTTCTTGTGAGAACTAAGTGAGATCCCCTATGAAGTAGGTAAGGATATCAATGAGACTCCATGTGCCCAGCACATAGGCACTTAATAAACACGAGGGCTCTCTTCCCTATACAAATGAGACATGTCATTACTCCAGAGCCTGGCATGTGTCAATCCTCTGTACGCCCAGCACACGTCCCAGCCGGTTCTGATTGCCTTTCCTGCGCTGTCCCGACTGGAGAGTCCAGTGCTGTGCCGGAACCGGTGCTGAGCGAAACCCCGGCAGCGCATGGCAGGCTTCCGGCTCCCTCCACCAGCCACTGAGGTCCATGTCCTCGCTCTGCGGAGACACTCCCATTCGGGGCCCTGGTCCAGTTACAATCCTATGCCCTCCAAGCTTTGGCATCAGCAGTCACCGACACTGCGTGCCAGATACTGTGCTGGCAGTTGGCCACGGAGGAGCCAGCAGCTGCCTGTGTGACACGGAGAGGGAGGCGCAGGGCTGCTGGAGCAGAGAAACCGCACCAATCCCGGCCTGCGGGGGGCTTCCCGGCAGCCCACGTATCCTTCCAACTAACAGGGTGGACTAGTCGACCCTGAGGCCATTTTCTGTTCTGAAATACCACGCCACCCCCTTACTGCCAATGAGCTAACCTCAGTCAGTTCTCAATAACCAGGCCGTTGGTTTGACAGTGAAAATATGAGTGTTGTCAGAACTGTGCTCACCTGTACCTAAAACTGAAAGCTTGAACAAAATCGGGAGGATTTTAAGATCGAAAGAAAACGGTCATGTTCTCGCCTGGCAAGGCTGGCTGCTTAGCCAGGACTGGGAACAAAGTTATTTTCAAGCTTCTCTTGTCAAAAGAGGGTTTAACTCATTCACTAAGTCAACTCCGGCCCATGGGGATTCTTTTCAAAGTGGCAAGAAAAAGATTAGGCAGGATAAACTAACTGGTGTTCTCTTCCGAGAGGGCTCCATTCCACTGTGCTGGACGCAGACAGAGGAAGACAAGCTTCTGAAGCGAGGCCTGCCCTCCCAGGAGCTGCTGCATAATTATTTGCGGGTTTATCCTCAAGTGCGCCCCCCTCCTTCTCCATGGGGGGAAATACAAATCAACGACCTAACAAGCTGGAAAAACTCAAAGCGGAGGCCACTGGAAAATAACAAAGCCCTGACTGGGGTGGTAAACACACAGTGCGATATACAGATGACGTATCATAGAACTGTACACGTGAAACCAATGCCACCCCAGTACGTTTCATTTAAAAAATTTTTTTTAATTTTATGTAGTCTTTTTCTAGTTGTGAGGACTGACTGCTGCTAATCTTGATTTCAGAGTAAGTAAAGAGCTTTAAAAAATATGCCAGATGCCACAGAATCAGAAAACATCTGGTAGATGTCAAAACAGGGGTGAAGAACTTTGTCCCAGGTCACACAGGGAATCAATCAGTGTCCCAAGCCTGGGTGTTTATGCATTTGTGTCACCACTGACTCCTGCTGGGTCAAGGTGCATAACCTTTTTCTTGTGCCATGGAACCTTCTGGCAGTCTGAGGAAGCCATCTCAGAAAAATGATTTTCAATACATAAAGTAAAAAGACTTTGGTTCTCGTCTCAGAATAATAATTTTAATTGCATCGCTTAAAACACATTGACCCATCAAATAATCAATTATGCTTAACAGTTATGAAAATAATTTTAAATTTATATACAATAATGCGTGTGCTTTGCTTCATCACACATTAGGTGCATTAGCATAATTGATGTATAGTGTATATAAATGATTTTTTTTCAAAAGATGTGAACATCTGTAACATGGAAGTGTCTATGATTTCTACTCGTGACTGCTACTACCACTGCAATTTACTGCCCATGAGCATCAACAAAGGAGAGGTTACATTTGGATGAAAGGTTAGTGGCAATAAAGATGTAACTTTTTCCCAACTAAATATACAGAACCCCCGAATTCTATCTACACACCCCTGAGTGGACCCCGGGAATGCCA